GAGGATCGAAGAGAAGCAAATGCCAAAATCCTTCAAACAGAGCAGAGCAGAGAGCAGAGCAGAGCGGCCCGTGGGGAGGCGGGAAATCCGCCTGCCCCGGCAAATGCCGAAATCTTTCAAACACAAGGAAATCATTGATTTCGGCCTCTTCGGGCCTTCTGGAGGACCTCTTGGAGGCCTCGTGGGCCGTCTTGGAGGCCTCTTGGAGACCTCTTGGGCCGTCCTGGGCCATCTTGAGGCCATCTTAGGCCGTCTTGCATGCATCCTGGGCAGTCTTTTAGGTATCTTGGGGCCATCACAACTGTCTTGGAGGCCACCTTGGTAATCTTGGTGGCAATCTTGGGCCATTTCGGCGGTTTTGAAGGCCATCTTGAACCGCCGTGTTGGGAGAATTTGTCCAGGAATTGGGCGCCTTCCGGGTGGCCGGCGGGACGGGCCGAAGCCCCAGGGGAGAGATTGGAAAAAAAACCAAAACCAATAGTGATAGGACTCAGCACGCCGGGCACCCTTGTGGCAAGCCCGCCTACGGCGAATCACCGCCGCCCTTTGCCTTCCAGAATCGCCCATGTGGCCGAGCGTTGCGGCAAGAGCTCCGCAAAGCTATCGGACCATGTGTTCCCCCATTCGTTGTGGAAACGTTTCGGGGAACACTTGGGGGAGGATGGCGGGGAAGATCAGAAGGAGGCGGAGGAGGAGGAGGTGGAGGAGGAGGATGAGGAGGAGGGGGAGAGGAGGAGGGGGCATCTTGGGAGCCTCTGGGGACACTTTTGGGTCCTCCTGGGAGCTTCTTGGGAGCCTCTTGGAAGCATCTTGGGGGCCTCCTTGGGCCTCTTGGGGCCTTTGGGGGCTTCTCGGCGGCCTCTTTGGCCGTCTTGGTGGGCTCCTGGCCCGTCGGAAGATGTCTTTTGGGCCTCTCTGGGCCTATTTGGGGCCCTCTTGGAATGTTCCCACCTTGGAGGCTATCTTGGGCGTCTTTGGGGCCTCTTGGGCTGTGTTGGGGCCGTCTTGGGGGCCTCTTGGGCCGTTCTGGAGCCATCCTGGAGGCCTCTAGGGCGATTTTGGGGCGATCTTTGGAGGCTGGCTTTTGGGCCGTCTCGGGCCGTCGGTAGGCTGAACTGAAGCAAATTCTCAAATCCTTCAAACACCTAGGTACACTCAGTGATTCTGGCCTCTTCGGGCCTTCCTGGAGGCCCTCTTGAAGGCCTCTTAGGCCGTCTTGGGCCATCTTAGGGCCATCTTGGGCCGTCTTGGTGGGCTCCTGGCCCGTCTGACGCCGTCGGAAGCCGTCTTGGGGGCCTCTCTGGGCCTACTTTGGGCCTTCTTGGAATGCTCCAGGCCCGTCTCGGATGCTTCTTGGGCGTTTTACATGCCTCTTGCGCCGTCTTTGGGCCCTCGGGGCCGTCTTGGGGGCCTCTTGGGCCGTTCTGGGGCCATCTTGGAGGCCTCTTGGGCGATCTTGGGGCGATCTTTAGGGGCTTTTGGGCCGTCTCGGGCCGTCGGTAGGCCGAATATAAGCAAATTCCCAAATCCTTGAAACAAACAGCGGAAAATCAATGATTTCCGCCTCTTCGGGCCTCCCTGGAGGCCCCCTTGGAGGCCTCGTGGGCCGTCTTGGGCCATCTTAGAGCCATCTTGGGCCGTCTTGGTGGGCTCCTGGCCCGTCTGACGCCGTCGGAAGCCGTCTTGGGGGCCTCTCTGGGCCTACTTTGGGCCTTCTTGGAATGCTCCAGGCCCGTCTCCGATGCTTCTTGGGCGTTTTACAGGCCTCTTGCGCCGTCTTTGGGCCCTCGGGGCCGTCTTGGGGGCCTCTTGGGCCGTTCTGGGGCCATCTTGGAGGCCTCTTGGGCGTCGTGGGGGCCTCTGGGCCGTTCTGAGGCCGACTTGGGACCCTCTCGGGGTGCTTCCCGGCTGGCTTGAAGGCCATCGTGGGCGTCGTCTTGGGGCCCTGTGCGGGGAGTCCTGGGGGCCTCTGGGGCCGTCTTGAGGCCTTTTTGGAGGCTTCTTGGGCGCTCTTGGGGCGATCTTTGGGGCATCTGGGGCCATCGTGGGCCGTTGGAAAGACGAAAATATCCAAATGCCACAACAGTCGAAAGCCCAAGAAATCAATGATTTTGGAATTTATGGGCCCTCCTCTCAAGAACCTCTGGACGCCTCTTGGGCCGTCTTGGAGATCTCTCAGGGGCCTTTGGGGCTGCCTTCGACCGTTTTGAGGCTTCCTGGCTGAATTTGGAGGCATCTTGGACTCTCTTTGACATTCTTGGAGGTCATCTTGGATCATCTTTGCCGAACTTGAGAGGCATCGTCGCCGTCTTGGAGGCCATCTTGAAGCCGTCTGGAGCAGGAACAACCTTGGCAACCGGGTCTTGCGACCCCTTCCAGGTCCCTCCAGGTGGCCGGCGGGCTAAGCCGGAGCCCTCGGGGGAGTTTTTTTGGAAAGGAACCAACAAAAACGGTAGCGTCTAGCACGCCGGGCACCTCTGTGGCAAGACCACAGGGGGCGGCAGATCGAAGACGCTCACGGCGAATCTCCGCCGCCCTTTGCTTTCTAGAATCGCCCATGTGGCCGAGCGTTGTGGCAAGAGCTCCACAAGGCTATCGGACCATGAGTTCCCCCATTCGTTGTGGAAACGTTTCGGGGAACACTTGGGGGAGGATGGCGGGGAAGATCAGGAGGAGGCGTAGGAGGAGGTGGCGGAAGAGGAGGAGGAGGAGGAGGAGGAGGAGGGGGAGAGGAGGAGGAGGAGATGGAGGAGGAGGAGGAGGAAGAGGAGGAGGAGGAGATGGAGGAGGAGGAGGAGGAGGAGGAGGAGGAGGAGTAGGAGGAGGAGGAGGAGGAGGAGGAGGAGGGGGAGCAGGCGGCAATTTGGAAGCCTCTGGGGATACTCTTGGGGCCTCCTGGGAGCTTCCTGGGTGTCCACTTGGGGGTCCTCTTGGCGGCCTCTTGGGGGCCTTTGGGACTTTGGGAGCTTCTCGGGGGCCTCTTTGGCCGTCTTGGTAGTCTCCCAACCCGTCTGGCGCCGTCGGAAGCTGTCTTATGGGCCTCTCTGGGCCGCCTTCGGGGCCCTTTTGGGGTGCTCCATGGCCGTCTTGGAGGCTCTCTTGGGCGTCTTGGAGGCCTCTTAGGCCGTCTTTTGGCCCTCTTGGGGCCGTCTTGGGGCCTCTTGGCCCGTTCTGGTGCCATCCTGGAGGCCTCTTGGGGGATCTTGGGGCGATCTTTAGGGGCTCTTGGGCCGTCTCGGGCCGTCGGTAGGCCGAAAAGAAGCACATGCCGACGTCCTTCAAAAACCTTAGGATAATAGATTTGTTTGGCCTCTTCGAGGCTCTTTTTGAGGCCGCTTGGGCCGTCTTGGGCCATCTTAGGGCCATCTTGGGCCGTCTTGGTGGGCTCCTGGCCCGTCTGACGCCGTCGGAAGCCGTTTGGGGGGCCTCTCCGGGCCGATTTGGGACCCTTTTGGAATGAATGTTCCAGGGCCGTCTTGGAAGCTCCATTGGGCGTCTTAGAGGCCTCTTTGTCCGTCTGTGGGCCGTCTTGGGGGCCTCTTGGGCCGTTCTGGGGCCATCTTGGAGGCCTCTTGGGCGATCTTTGGGGGATCTTGGGCCGACCCTGGCCGTCAGAAGGCCGAAAAGAACCAAAGGCCAAAATCCTTCAAACACCTGGGAAAGATCAATGATATTCGGGCCTTCCTGGAGGCCCTCTTGGAGGCCTCTTGGACCATCTTAGAGCCATCTTGGGCCGTCTTGGTGGGCTGCTGGCCCGTCTGACGCCGTCGAATGCCGTTTGGGGGGCCTCTCTGGGCCGACTTGGGGCCCTCTTGGAATGCTCCAGGGCCGTCTTGGAGGTCTCCTTGGGCGTCTTAGAGGCCTCTTGGGCCGTCTTTTGGCCGTCTTGGGGCCATCTTGGGAGCTTCTTGGGCAGTCCCGAGGCCATGTTGGAGGTTTCTTTGGCGCTCTGGGGGCGATCTTGAGGGCCTCTTGGGCCGTCGAAGGTCGAAAAGGAGCAAACACGAAAATCCTTCAAAAACCATAGGGATATAATGATTTTGGCTTCTTCGGGCCCTCCTGAAGGCCTCTTGGGCCGTCTTGGAAGCAACTTGGGCACCTCTTGGGTAGTCTTGGGCCATCTTGGAGGCTTCTTTGGCGGACGTGGCAGTATCTTGGACCCTCTCGGGTCGTCTTGGAGGCCGTCTTGGACCATCTTGGGCGAACTTGGAAGCCATCGTGGGCCACCTGGACCCTCTTGGAGGCCATCTTGAGCCGTCTTGGAGGAGTTGTTCCGGACGTTGAGGTCGTTTGCGCGCATTTGCGGGCGCTTCCTGGTGGCCGGCGGGCTGGGCCAGTGCCTCAGGGTAGAGTCCTTTTGGAAAAGACTCAAAACCAAAACCGAAAGAGTCCAGCACGCTGGGCACCCCCGTGGCAAGACCACATGGGGCGGCGGATCTAGTGGCCTTCAGCCCATCCCGCCACCGTGCCTGAGTTGTGGGTCAGATTTCTCAGGAATGCTTCTTCGGGGCGCTCTCGGGGGCCTCTTGGGAGCAATTTGGGGGCCTCTCGATCTTGGAGGCCTCGTGGACCGTTTTGGAGCGTCAGAAAGCCGAAGAGGGGAGAAGGCCAAGAACGTTCAAAATCCTAAGACCAACTCGTTTCGCTTCGTGGGGCCCTCTTAGGACGCATCGGGGAACGCTCTTGGGACTTCTTCGGGGCCTCTCGGGTCGTGTTGAGGCCATCTTAAGCGTATTGGGGCACTCTTGTGGGCCTTCTCGGAGGCATCGTCAGCCCTCTTGGGCGCTTATTGAGCCCATGTTTGGCCGGCTGTGCTACCGGAGGACGCGCGTGACACGCCCAGTGAGTCCCGGGGAATCGCCAGAAATCCTGGGGAATCCGTGGGAATCCTGGGCAATCCCCGAACATCCTTGTAAAACTGTTGGCCCGGGCTATTAAAACTTACTAAAACCCTGCAACTCCGAACTGGCTCAGGGCTGCATGAGCCTTGGGGCACTCCACTACGTGCTGCAGGTGCAGTGGCGGATATCCATGGGGATGCGATGCGGTACAGCGGTATAGAACTCCGAACAGTCGCCATGCGAGGCAAAGTATCCGAATCGACGGTGATGCAGCACACCACGTGGTTCAAGCGTCCTGGGTCCCTATTTGCGATATGGCTTATGGCTAATGATCGAAATGCTACGTTCCGAAGCTACCCAACGAGCCCAAAGCGGTAGTTTTCTGCTCCCTGACCGATCAAGGATCAGCAGCTTGCGATTGCTAGGAACAGCCTTGCCGGTCTTGTACGTTTGGTCTCTGCCGGTTCTTGCTTGGTGCGAGTTCGCACACACATGTGATGGATACCCACGTTGCGACGCAACTGGCATGAGCGTCTCCAACTTCATCGCCAATGCAAGGGCCACCGGCGCAATGGCTGCATGCTTCTTCTATCCAGCGCTTCATTTGTGGCAGAACGCGCAGTACGTGAGGAACCACAAGTACGTTTATTCGACACTTGTCGCCTTCCAGGTCAGCTTTGGAATTTTCCTCATGTGCCCGATCACAGAGGTGCCAGAGTTACACCCCCCGGCTGTGTGTCTCTTCTGCTCTGCCGCGCTCACACACTGCTTTGTCTTGCTGAAGCACTGTGCCGATTCGCGCCTTTGGCTCTGCAAGTCTCTCGTGTGTGCTGCATTGGCCTCGTTTGCCATGGTCTTCATTTTGGTCACAGTGGCAAGCGTCGATGGGGAGCTGTTGAAGGCTCATGTGCCAGCGCTGTTTTACACTATGGAGTGTTGTGGGTTGAGCTCCATGGCAATCTTTCCACTTTTCTGGTATCGCGCGGTGACTGAGACTCACGCCAGCCAAGAGACAGGAGCAAATGAGACGTCCAGCTTTGCTCTCATCGACCACTCGGACACCAGCAGACTGCGTTTCATGGGCGCGGCCCTCCCAGTACTGTACGTTTGGTCTTTGCCTCTTTTGGCAGAGGCGGGATTTGCACACAAATGTGCAAACTATCCGCGATGTGACAGGACCGGCATGAGCGTATCGAATTTCATCGCGAATGCGTGGGCCACGGGTGCTATGGCTGCTTGTTTCTTCTACCCAGCTTTGTACGTGTGGTTGAATGCGGAGTACGTCAGACACCACAGATTCGTTTTCCCGACGTTGGTTGTCTTCCAAGCTAGTTTTGGCATTTTCATTACATGTCCAGTCACGGAGTTGCCTAATTGGCATGCCCCAGCGGTGTTGCTTTTCTGCATTGCCGCGCTCGTACACTACGGCCTTCTGATGAGGTATTGCACCAGCAATCGCTTGAGACTATGCCAGGCTCTCGTAAGCATTGCAATAGCCGCCTTCATGGTGGTATTCACCTTGATGATCATCGGACATTTGGATGGCAACATGTTGATTGATAACGTGCCAGTCTTATTTTGGATGATGGAATGCTGTGGCTTGAGCAGTATGGCTCTGCTTCCCGTGGTTTGGTTTCGCGAGCGCCAGCTCCGCGGGTAGCCAAGCGAGGGGGCATGGCACGGGAGCGCCAACATGAGGGAAGCCGAGAAAGACATGCAGAGGCTGATACAAAATGGACGTGTACGTCGTACGGGCTAACGGCAGAAGAGCTCGGAGGAGGAGGAGGTTTGGAGATAAGAGGCGAACGAGCCGGGACATGGAGGAGGCGGAGGGACGAGCGAGGGAGGTTGAGGAGGTGGGAGGCCTTTTTGGGCACGGCTTGGAATTGTGAAGACGCTGGTGAGCTTGATTTTAGCGGATGTTAAGGCGGAGTCAGGCTTGCAAGATCAGTACCAGGGGAATGTCACGGCCGGTGGCAAAGTTTAAACCCCACGAGCAGCATCAAATGTGGTCGAGTAAACGCAGCCTGCGCTTGCGAGCGACCCTGGCGCGTCCCACGAACACACTCTGTGCGCGGGTGACCCTCAATCAGCAATTGCCCCCTCTGGGCGGCCCCCCAGAGGCGAAAGCGTGAGACTGATCGGATTTTGCCCTGCGCGAGTTGGCCTTAAAAGAAATCAGGAGAGCTTCTCAGAGGCCCTCCCTTTCTTTTCTGGCGCCCTCCCGGCCCTCCCAGCCTTCTCAGGGAGAAGCTCCTGCTGGAGACTTCCTCCCCATTCATTTACGGGCGAGCACCCGAGACATCCACTCAATGCGTTCAGGAATAAGGCTCGCACTCGAAACTTTCTCAGGATTTCGGCTCCCACTGCCAGGGTTTCCCCCCTGCGCCCGATTCGGACGCGGGTGGGTTACCACCCGCGTCCCGGATGGTCTCCGCCTGCGCCCAATTCGGACGCGCGGATGGATGACCCCCCGCGCCCGGGACCCCCCGAGTCCGGCCGCCGTCGTCTTCCTGAATTCCCGTTCCTCTTCCTCCTCCGATGGCTCGAGGAAGTGGCGCGTGAGGGCTCGCACCAGTATTCGTCTTCTCTCTGCTCTCTGCTGGTGTGGCAGAACCGTGAAGCCCAGAAAAGACAACAGCAACGTGCTTCCGCTGACCCGCTCGGGTTACCAACATGACGTGCGGGAACCAGAGGGACTCGAGGTCGCGTTTCACTCTCAGAGCCATCCTCACGATTTGCCCCCTTGGCATGCTCAAGTGCTATGTCTGGTAAAGTTGCCGGTGACCCGTTCGGATTACCGACATGACGCGCGGACCCCACAGGGATGGAGTTCCCTCCTGACATTTGATCGCAATTCACTCGCAGACGTGGCCCTCGCTTGAGACATCCTGACCATTTGCCCCCTTGTTGCGCTCAAGTGCTATGCCTAGTATAGATTGCCGTTGAGCCGCCCGAGTTACCAACACGACGTGCGGGCCCCTTAGGGAGGGGGTTCCCTCCTGTGGCTTCCCCGCAACTCTTTCACAGACGAGGCCCCCGATTGAGACATCCCCACGGTTTGCCCCACTTGGGGTGATCAAGTGCCACGGTTGGAACAGTTTGCCGTTGAGCCGCTCGGATTGCCAACATGACGTGCGGGCCTCATGGAGCGGCGGTTCCCGCCTGAGATGTCTTCTCTATTCACAGACGAGGTGCCCGCCTGAGACATCCTGACGATTTGCCCCCTTGCTGTGCTCAAGTGCAATGCCTGGTAAAGTTTGCCGATGACCCGCTCGGATTCCCAACATGTCGTGCGGAGACTTGTCCGCAATTCACTCACAGACGAGGCCCGTGCTTGAGACATCCTCACGGGTTGCCCCCCTGGGTTGCTCGAGAGCCATGCTCGGTAGGGTTTTCCGATGGCCCGCTTCGATTACCAACATGACGTGCGGGCGCCATATGGAGCTCCTTCCTGAGACTTCCTCTCAATTCACTCACAGACGAGATGACCGCTTGAGACATCCTGACGATCTGCCTCGTTGGGGTGCTCAAGTAAGATGCCTGCTAGAGTTTGCCGTTGACTCGTTTGGATTACTAGCATCAAGTGCGGGGCCCACAAGGAATGGGGTTCCCGCTCGAGACTTCCCTCGAGGTGAGTGCATGAGTGTGTGCGTCGGTGTCCGCGAGTGAGTGCGAGTGAGTGCGTGAGTGTGTCGGTGTGTGTGAGAGAGGACGATGGTGATACTGATGACCACGAAGAAGTTGCTGATGATGATTGATGTTTTGGTGATGCTGATGCTGATGATGGTTTTGATGATGATGATGATGCTGATGCTGCTGCTGATGATGATGATGATGCTGGTGGTGCTGCTGATGATGATGGTGGTGGTGATGATGATGGTGGTGGTGATGATGAGGAGGAGGATTATGTGATTCGGGAGGAAGAGAGGCTTTAGGTGTGAGGTTTCTGCGCGGGATGTGCAACGACAACAAGAATCCCACCTTGGATGTTGGGAGATATGGTGAATCCTGTGATATGTGGATCCTTATTTGTGTGTCCCTGGGCCCTTTCAGGCTTTAGTGATCCGTGTGATGTTGCGAAGGCCTTCCGTCCAGTGCCGCCGACCCTGAAGGGGAAGGACGACGAGGACGACTGCGACGACGACAGCGATGACGACGGCGACGGCGATGGCGACTGCGATGATGGCGACGGACTCAAACGGCAAAGCCTTTCACAGGCGGCAGGGTCGGCGGAGTTTCGGAGGAATCCGTCAGTTGTTGTGGGCTGGCGTTCGTTATTGGGGGCTCCTGGATATTTTTGGAGGTGGTCTAATCCGGTATAACCTCTGGCTATTCAGTTCAATGCCGCCTAATCCAGTTTAGCCTCGCTGAATCCGATTGGATGGCACATTCCATCGTGCTAAGTAGCTCTTAATCGTTCTTATGCATACCTCCCAGGAGTTGCCTCCTAAGGCTGTCTGGCGGGGCTAGGACATGGATGCAGCAGTTCCAGGGCGCCACGGGGCGCTCTGGCGCGGTGCCCAGCACATCCTCCAGAACCGGCAGATCTCAAAGATCCCCAATCATTTCTTTGTCCGATCTTCGCCCTGTCCTGGCTTCGTCTTAGGTTGGAGGCCTGGTCCCGCGGAGAGCGGAGAGGCGCGACGCCCGGCGCCCTCGCAGGCTGCGCGAGCACGCCGTCTCCTCGCGTGCCTCCGCCGCGCGGGAGCGCGGCGCGCGCGGCCGCCTGCGGCAAGCGGCGCAGCGGAGGCCCCTTGCCGGTCGCCGCCGGTCGTCGGCCGCCGCCGTCGTTGTCGTGATCGACGGGGTGGTGGTGGTCGCAGCCGCCGCCGCCCGCCGCCGTCGTCATCGTCGTCATCGTCGTCGACGTCGACGTCAGCGTCGTGTTCGTCGTGGTCGTGGCCGCCGATGCACAGGCAGCACGGCGCTACCCATGCTGTCGTGACGGCCTGCGCCTGTCGCTGCGGGCCTTCGCGCGAAAGCTTGCAGCTCCTGAGGCAGGAATTTTCTCTGGCCGCTTTGGCTGCAGCGGCCCGTGCACCAAGCTCCGGGTGTGGCAGCAGCAGCAGCAGGACTGCCGCCAGCACACCCTCGATGTGATCCGTCGAAGAAGAACAAACGCCACAAACATCAACTTTTGGCACTCCTCACGGATTTCTTGGATCCGCGCTGGGGCCCCCCCCTGGCGGCGCCTCAGGCGCCGCCCCTGGCGCGCTTCGCGCGCCAGGGAGGGGGGTCCGGCGCAGATCCAAGAAACCCGCGCGGAGCGCCAACAGTTGATGTTTATGCAGTTCTTTCTTCTTCTCTCGATGTCATCCAGGAGCGCCGTCCTCCGTGCTGGCCGCTCCAGCTGCTCCTTCGGCGGCCTCGGCAAGTGCGGAGGGTTCTTGTGGGGCCTGCGGTCGCTGCGGCCGCTGCTGCTCTGGGCGCAGCCTGCACCAGCTCGGCCTGCGCCAGCTCATCCAAGTTCTTGAAGTGCGCTTGCCAGGGCCCCGCATTTCCGCCCGCCAGTAGACGCTGGACGGCCGCGGACAGCTGGACCCATGCCTTCGCCCAGCCTCCAGCCGTGAGTCACCGCGACACCCTGCTCTGGCGGCGCGCCAGGCACTGATGCCGGCGCGGGGACGTCACGCTGCTTCTGCAAGGCGTCCCGCTCATGCCGAGCCTCGTTCCGCTCGTCTTCGAGCGCCTCTAGCCTCTTCCACTGGGGCGGAGATGGCCGACTGCTCCGGCCCCAATTCCTTGAGCTGGAGGTTCACTGGATGGACGCCTGGCGGGCATCCTGTAGACCCCGCAGGTTCCCCCTGCTTGTGGGCCAGGATTGCTTCGAGGTGATCGCCTCCGCCCTCCATGCCCTCCAAGGTTTCTCCATAGTGGCCTCCGCAACACCAGGGGCAGCAACGGCTGGCGCATGCTGCTCCGCCTTTGCTCTGGCCGCCGCCCTTCACTTAAGCTTCGCATCCTTGTCCTTCAGCTCGCGCTCGCGCAGCGCCACCGCCTGCTGCTGCGCCAGCGCCGGCGGCTAGGACGACCGCGACGGGGAGGTCGGGGCAATCTTGGCGAGGAAGCAGCTGCCCTTGGCAGTGCTGCGCGAATGGCAGCTGGTGTGGAAGCCCTTGATGACGTAGGGCTTCCCATCCCGGCCATCGCAGCGCTTGCACGTCCAAGATTCCTTGGTGGCGATCGCGCGCGTGCGCTGGGCGCCATCGAACCCGCGAAGGAGCCGTTTTGTGTCTCCAAGCACAGCGCTGCGCTGCCGAGCCGCTCGCCCAGATCTGCGGCGAGGCGCTGTCCGCCGCCCGGCGCATGCGCACTCGGTGCTGTGATACTGATCCGCGCCCCGTTGTCGTGTTGGCCAGCATGTCAGTCTGGGCGCGAGGTGGGGTGTTTGCAGCGCGCCCTCGGCGCAGGCCCCCCAAGCTTTGAAACACGTCTCCAGCCAGACACCGAAGATCAGGAGGGGAAGGGGGGAGGGGGAAGGGGAGAGGAGGGAGTAAGTAGGACGAGGTAGAACGAGGAGGAAAATGGGGAGGAAGGTGATGAGGAGGATGCATAAGGCCTCAGGATTTGTATGCGACCTTCTTGCGAAGTCCGAGGGCCCTCGTCCGAAGTGACATTGTCAGTTTCACAAAATATTTGAAGAGTGATCACGTTTGTCCCACAGCCAGTCTAGATCGAACTGCCAGTCTCTGGGTGCTTCAAGCAGTGCCAAAGGAAAGAAACAGAGGCAGGGGAAAATACAACAGACGCGAAGGAGGACGTGGGCTGAGGATGACGAGGAGGAGGATGATCAAAGCTGAAGGGCAGGATATCCAGGATGTGGAGGTGACCTGGAGGTCGAGTGGTGGGATGATGCTGATGCTGATGATGATGCTGCTGCTGATGATGATGATGATGATGATGATGATGTTGTTGATGCTGCTGATGATGCTGCTGATGCTGCGGATGATGATTATGATGCTGATCCTGATGATGATGCTGTTGCTGCTGCGGATGATGCTGATGATGATGATGATGATGATGATGATGATGTTGATGATGATGCTGATGATGATGATGATGAATATTGTGGTGGTGATGGTGATGGTGATGGTGATGTTGATCGTGTTGCTGATGATGATGATGATGATGATGATGATGATGATGATGATGATGATGAAGTTGATGATGCTGATGCTGATGCTGATGATGAGTATGATGGAAATGATGATGCTGCTGCCGAGGATGCTGATGATGATCACCTGTGGTGGTGGTGGTGATGAGGGTGGTGATGGTGGTGGTGGTGGTGATGATGATGATGAGGAGGAGGAGGAGGAGGAGGAGGAGAAGGAGTGGGTGGAGGTGGATTGCAGAGGCGGTGGAGGTGCAGCATGATGGCGGGGAGGCATTTGCATGAGTAGGACGACGAGCGCTGGTCTGCCAGGGTACATACCCAGACTCCTGTGCGAACTCTCCCGACGTGCTCTCGGAAGGCGAGCCGTTCAAATAGGATCAGAGAGAGTGCATGCTCCCGCGCCTGTTCCTCCTCTCCTGCCTGTTCTCTTTCCTCCTCCTCCTCCTCCTCCCCCTCCTCCTCCGTAGCTACTGTGGCGTAATCTTTTGCGAGTCTCAGCGAATCAAGTGGATACCGCCGCCGAGCCGCGGCCTTATTTCGTTTCTTGAGGGTCAGTCCGCCCTGAACTCTCACCGTGGGTTGTCCGACCTGTCCACGGACCCCGCCAAGGTGGTGCAGCTGGGTGCTGCCACCTCCAACTCTCTTCCTGTTGCGTGAGCCCTTGCAGGGGCAAGCCACGAGCGGGGGCAAATCGATATTAAACGCACGACCCGTGGATGAAGGTTGGTCGTGGCGGTGGCAGAGCGGGCCACCGTCATCGTCGTGTGCGTGGCTGCGTTGATTGCTCTTGTGGTCGCTGGGCGTGGGAGATGCTGGCCAAGTGCCAGTGGCAGTGTACGGGGCGCCAGGATATTTGAGAGCTCACGGGCCGCTCCGCCCGCGACACCTCCCTCCAGAGAGCCAAGCAAAGCAGCGCGGCCCTCGCCGCGATTGGGGATGATCAACCCTGGCCCATCGAAGACCCCAGGGGGCGTTGGCGCAGGCGCGGTGGTGCCAAGCAGCAGGATGCACGAGGCCCCAGCCTTCCTGCGGGGCTGGTTGCGTTCAAGCAGGCCGCGGGGCAGCTGCCCCAACCAGATGTACAGACGCCCGTGGCCCCGCTTGCACCAGCCAGCACAGCTTCGCTCCGACGCCGGTTCAGGCGATGTGGGGCCGCGCTTCCCAGGTGCGCAAGGCAGCTGGATATCGCCTTGACCAGGCGCTGCTCAAGCGAGTGGAGCTGGACTAGCAGGTCATGGAGTTTCTTACGGCGCTCGACGACCTCGTGGCAAAGGACACTGGTGCGAAACAGGTCTTGGCAGGGATCACTCGAGTCCTGTTTGGAGGTCTCTCAAGCTGGCAGAGCCCAAGACCCATGCCAGGAGCAATTCTTTCTTCCCTCTCAAGGACTCGGGGGGGGACTTGACCTCGGACTTCGGCGAGGAGATAGGTCTCGCTTGGCCTGCCTTCTCGGGCTGCAGGCCGATGTCCGATGCCCGATGGCCTGCCTTCTCGCCCCCGCGGCGCCTCGACTGCAGGCCGATGTCCGATGTCCGATGGCCTGCCTTCTCGGGTTCTGTCTGACAGAGCCGATTCCCAGGAATCCCAGCTGGACTGGCCAAACTAGATCAGGTAACTACTAGACGACGCTGGAGCACCGCAGTCGCATGGGAGATTTCCGCGAGATCCGGGAGACTGGTGTGGGCGGAACTGTATCCGCGGCTGTCGGAGCAGACCCGCCCCCCCTCGAGTCGCGCCAGGCCCCGAAGGCGGTTGCCGGCGCCCCCGCTGCCGAGGCCGCGGGCTCTGCGGGCGGTTCCCGTGGGCCCCGCCGGGCGGCCCCTGGCGAGTTCCCAGCCGCCCAATCCAGCAGCTCGCCAAACATATGGACATGAATACTTATGCCCGGGCTGACCAGCTCCAGGCTGAGCTCTTCGCCAAGGCCAAGGACATGGCCTCGCGCGCTGCGGGCGAGGCCAAGGGCGAGGCCAATGACGCCGAACCAGATGCCTAGAGCAGGTCCTCGGGGCAAGGCGAAGAAGGGAAGTTCGTCGCTTCCTCGGCTTCCCAGGGACAGCCAAGGCCTGGCCTATGGTTCCCAGAGCCTCGAGTTCATCCGCTCCAGCATGCCCTGCCGGGGGGGGCGGGGCACCAGCTCCAGATGACATCGCGCTATGACGCCGACGTGATTCTTCTGGTCGAACACCTCCAACGCGGACGCGAGTTCGCGGTGAAGGCGCCGCGCGAATTTGGGCGGCGCGCGGCGGTCCGGCGGCCCGCGAAGCGCGCCGCGCTGCAGCAGACGGCGCCTCGCGAGGTGATCTCGTCATGGTTCGCTCGCATTTTGGTTTTGCGAGCCTCGCGTCTTCTGCTGGTTTGTGCACTACGTCTCGGGCGGCGCTTCGCCCGCCGCCGCGCCTGCGCGCCTGCGCGTCGGCGGCGAGCTGAAAGGTGAGAGCCTCGGGCTCCTGGCCGACGTCGGAGCGCGGCTGGGGCGCCCGTTCTCGCCGTTGGGATTAGCGGGTTGGACGGGGGGCCCTCGTGGAGCCGGATTAGTGGGCGCGCCCCGGCCTCGCCCCTGCCGCCCATGCTGGGCGTCGCAGTCGCGTGCGCGGGCGCGTCCTTCCGCCGCGTCGACAGCGCCGTTTGCTCCACCGTGCTTCAGTCGGGCCGCCACTTCGCCCGCGCCGCCCCCGCCCCGCGGGATGCCGCGTTAAGTTTCGCTATTTCGGCTTGTTTTAGTTCCATCGCGGCACGGAGGGCCGCGCGCCCGAAACATCTCCGCGGCAAGGGCGCCGCGGGCCAATTTTGGGCCAGGCGGGGCCCCTCAAGCGCCATCGATCGGCATCTTTTTGGGCCAATTTCCATGCGAGGTTTCTGCCGACGTGCCCCCCGTGCCTCGGGCGCGGAATTGTCGAGATGGGCCCCCCCTCTCGAGCGTGAGGCGTTCTCCAAGGTGGACCTGCCCCTGCGCGGCGTCTTCCAGCTCGTTGGTCGAGACCAGCAGGCCAGGTTTAGAGAGGCCCCGCGGTGGGCGGCCAAGGTCGACGGGCCCTCATTGGCCAAGCGCTGCTCGTCGGGGGCAGTTTGGTTTTGCGCGGGTCTCATGGCCCTCGCAACGGGCGCCCCCTCGGCCGTCGGACCTGCGCAGCGCGCGGGCTTATTGTTTGTTTTTGGTCGGTGCGTTTCCGGAACATGTCCACCGCGGCCATGGGCGGGTTCGACGACTTGTTGCGCGAGTTGCGACAGGCTGCCGGCAGCCCCGCCGCGACGCCCAGACACCTCGCGCCGCCGCGCGGCAAGCGCGACTGCCCCCGCGGCGCCGCAGCGCCGGCGCAGCCGACGCGCGGCAGCGCCGTAGCTTCGCGGGCGCGCGCAGCGCGCTAGCTAGCCTGTGGAAGCTCGCGAAGGGGTCGCCATGATTGCCGTCGACAAGATTGGGCGAAGTCAGCGTGGCCCCCGCGCCCGCGCCAGACGCTCGGGGCCAAGGTTTGCGTCGCATTGGGTCGCGCCCGGTTAGGGGGGGTCAGCCCTGGGGCCAGCCAGCCTCCCGCATGCGCCCCGCGTAGCGTCGGGGGGCAGCGCGGCGCCCACGTCGCAGCATTTGGTTTCGCTCATCGCGGTTGCTCCCAAGCCTGACGGAAGTAAGGGGTCAATTGATTTTCCCGGTTCCATTCGCTCCCCCATGCCTCCTCGTCGAGAGCCCCTTTGTCACCCGACTGGGCCGTGGGGCCCACGGGCCGCGGGGCCCACTGTAGGATGATCAGTTGGCGCCGTTGGGTGCGCCGATGAGCAGGATAATTAGCTCGCGCTCCATTCAAGTGCTCAGGTAGGTGGGTTCGTTCCAGAGGAGGAGCGACGATTCCATGATGCAGTTGAGGAGTTTGCCCGCGCGCGCGGGCGCCCTGCCCCGTGGCGGCGTGACGGCGCGGCACGATCGGGCCACCTTTGTAGCGCGAGCGCGTTTAAATTTGCCCGTGCGTTCTGCTCGCAAGTCGACGCGTAGCCCCAGGCTTCGCGAATGGGCCGGCGACGTTTCAGCTCGAGCATTTTTGCCCGGATACCTGCCGCATTGTGCTCCGTGCCGCGTGTTAGCTCGCCGTGGATACGTGACATCTGCGAGCGTGGCCACCTGGGCTTCCAGCCGAGATATCAGGGGTGGCCGCCGCGGAGGGCCGCAATTTCGATGCACTTCTGGAAGCCATTGACGCGGGGCGCAACGCCGCTCTCGGAGCGCGTCGCTCTATTGCTGATTGGGGAGTCCGGTTTTCCAAGGAGGGGGGGGTGCCGCCAGCGAGATATTTTGTTTTCCAAGTCCAGCCTCTCGGCTAGCGGCCAGCAGACGGTTTCACCCATTGCTCTTGCGAAGACCACGGGGGTGCCCGCGCGCCGGGGCACGGGCCCGCCCATGCTGACAGGGCTCAGGAGCATGGCCCAAGCGGTTAGCAACTCCCCTCAGTTGGGGGTTTGCGCTTTCTCGGCTGCCAGACCCACCCATGGCAACTGCTCGTTTGCCAAGCCACGGTTCCCCCGCGTCGCCGTCAACGTTCGCCTTCGGCGGCGCTTGGTCCGAGCTCCCACGTTCCCTTGCTTGCTGTGGTCTGGGCCTGCCCTTCCCCTTCTCGCTCTTCCCCCCCACTGCCTCTGGCGGCTCCTGGGGGGTGGGACCTGCCCGTCCAGGACCGTTGAGGCCCCTTCTGGAAACCTGCGATGAGTCTGTTGACGAGCCCGCATGTAAACAGGCCGGCAAACATCTCAGCGGCGAAGAAAGCCAGGGCCATGCGCCGTTTTTTGTTGCATCTCTGGCGAAGGATGGCGCCGAGATGCAGCCTCCGCGCTCAGGCCAACCGCTGCCGGCGATTATTCGACAAAAGGAAGCACGCAGCCCAGTTAGCCACCGACCCCCCTTGGCCGCCAATGTAAGCGCGATGCTGAATTCTCCGCCCACCATTTGTGGGTTCGCTTGTGCACGTTGTTTTCTATCGTTCCTGGCGTAGTTGGCTTCAGCACGCGCGCCATGCAGCCATCCAGGAATCCGCTGAGTTCCCTTGTTTTGTTCCGTGGGTTTCTCCCGCTCTCCTGGTTTCGGTCGCCGCCACTCCCTGGGTCCCGTTTGCTCCGTGGCGCGCCGTCCTGGGCCCTTCGTGCCAGGCCCGCTTCTAGTGGGCTTGCGCGGCGCCGATGGCTGGGGAGGCCCTATAGCAAGGGCCCTGTCCTGTGTCGAGTGGCGCTTTCGTTTGTCAGGATGGTCCGTGGCTTTGGTTTCCACTGGGGTTGCGCTCCCAAGCGTCAGACCGTGCCGGGCGCAGAGGTCACGGCCATGGTTGAGCGTCTCAGGCTCCTCGACCCTGCCCACGAGTAACAAGTGGCCACCGCCATCATGATCTTGCCAAGGCCTTTTCTGATGGCGTATGGCATTCTCCGACCCTGGCCAAAGACGATTTGTGGTGGAAGTTCTGGGAGCTGGTCGAGCCCAGCACCGCCCCCTCCGCCTCTCTCGCGTCCCCGCTCACATCCTCTATGATTTTCAGGAGTGCGCCAGCTGCGGTTAACATGTTGATTG